TTTCAGCCTGCCATGGAATCTAAGATACACAGCTGAAAGGGGAGATTTCCCTGCATAAGACTCTCTGAATGCCTTAGGAAGATGACAAAAATAGTAACTCGGTGATTTATTTCTTCCTATCTGCAAAATGCTAACCACAGCCATACTTTTCAGAAAACCTCTTGTATCAGTTAGGATGAGTAAAGTTAGCTGCTGTAAGACACAAGGAACAAAACCCTGATGCTCAATAGAACCCATACACAAAACCCAACCATGTGTTCCTAGTAGTCAGGCAGCCTTCCACACGCTATTCAAATACCCAAGTTCCTCTATATTGTGGCTCTGTCCTCTTCTGGGTCCTCAGAGTCCTCTCCATTTATTCCACAAAAGGAGAAAAGAAGCACAGGGATGTTACACCTACTTTTTAATTATTTAGTCTGAGAGTAACCCACATCACTTCTGCTTACTTCCCACTGACCAAAACTTGGTTCATGGCCTCATCTAATGGCAATAAAGGCTGGGAAATGTAACCTAAATATGCCTAGAAAGATAAGTAATGATTTGAGTAAATTCGTAGAAGTCTGCCACAAATGGATTTGAAACTGACAATAACTGTTTGATTTAAGAAAATGATAATAGAGTGTGGACTGCAGAACATTCTATGTCATGTCCCTTTTGTGTCCCTTATGGGCTACATGTGACAGTTGTCTTGCCAATGGGTTTCACCCCTGGCAAAGTTCACTATGGATTCAGTGAGACTGAGGAAAGACAATGTAATGTTCTTGGGGTAAAAGGGTTTATTACCCAGCTGTTTTCCCAGTGATAGGTCGAGCACTAGAATTATGTCTGCATCCAACAGTCTGCAGGTCTGTAATCCTCCTTCATCTCTGCTTCCACCCAGAGCACTAGGCAGAGCTCTTTATATAGTGACTCAGTCAATAACAGCTTATTGCCTAGGGTGTGGAAGCAGTAGCCTAGCAGCAGGCCAGTTACATCACCAAGTAGTTTAGGTTCAGGTGAGGATCCTGGCCATAGGAATCTTCACTTAATCCACAGAATGGATCTTTGAGGACAGTTGGTAGTCTTTGCTACACTGTCCATGCAACCAAATACTGGGCATGGTCATCAGAACAGAATGATATTTTTACTGCCAGACAAAAGAGAAGCATACTAACTTTTAATTTGTCGTATTAATACGTTATTCATTTAACTGACATTGATGCATTCAGAAGATAGAGCTGCATATTCTTCAAATTTATATCTTATAAGATTTAGGAAAGTGAGAAAAGAGTAACTTGTTACATTGCCTTCACTTTCATGACAGCATTTCATGTATACATTTATTGTGTCTATGGATACCTGTCACTGTGCTAGATTCTCGGGATAGAAAGACAACTAAAATATATCCCTTATTCTCAAACCCCCAAGGTAGTGGTAGAAACTATTACATTTTCTGCTGTTGTTTTTTAAGTGCTGAATGCTGTGAGCATCCCTGACCTAGAGCTACGTGCACAGCTCAGCACAGAGACAGAGTGAGGGTTCCAAGGGAGTGGTGGCAGAACACGTAGGGCCCAATCCAGAAGCGAGAGTAGGAGTTGACCAGATGGACCCAAATAGGGACGACCACTACAAGCTGAAGAAATAGTGTGGGCACAGCTGAGAAAGTGGTGAAACACCCCAGGTGTGACAACCACTAGCGATTTAGCCCAGAGTCTAGGGTACAAGTTGGGGCAGAGTAAGCTGGGCCCAAGCAAGCTCATTAGGAACCTTGCATCCTGGCCTGCTAATGGGGGCTTTTTTTGTAGGTGATATTGACCCCCAGGAGACCTGGTCACATCTGGACTGGGAAAAATCATTACCTACACAGCAAGATAGATCAGAATCTAAGTTCAAAACGCTAGCAGTAAGGTTAAACCTTCTGATACTTTTCCTGAGGAAAAGGAGATATTTCAGACCAGTTTTTTGATGGAAAGAATTCCATATATTAGAAAATCTTGACAAAATACTTAGGAGCTTTAAGTCTTTTGAGAATGAATCCATACAAGAAATATAGTTTTCAATCAAACTCCTAATAGTGCTGGGTGGTATAAGACAAAGATATATATTAATATAAAGGTATATCTTTATATTAACATAAAGATATAAACATATATGTAGCATAAGCCAGCCCCAAAGGAGACAGCAAAGTGTGGGCTCATGAAGTAAAACAGCTCAAAGTGCAGTGGGCTCCCAGGGGTGTAGGTATTTAGATAAGGGAATTTAAATCATGGAATAATAAGGGTGTGGATTGGAGCTTTGCCTTGGAAAGTGACAACATATATTAGTTCAGTCAAGTCCTAGTTGATAGAATCAGAAGCAGATTCTTCTTCCTCAGTGAATATTTTCACCCATAAACACTCACTAGAGAATGGCAACTGTACAAGCAACCCATGGCTTTTTCTCATCCTCCCATGTTCTAGAATGGAAGAGAAGAGAGGATTATTAACCAAAGAAAGGAATTATTGGTTAGTTCCTCCTCCAAGCAGGGTTTAGCACGTGCTGGGAGGAGAAAGGTGGTGGAATGTTTCTGACAGCCACTGATCCTTAGAATTCAGTTCCTTTGGACAAGAAGCACAGTCAGGCTGGTAGGGCTTGGTGGGAGCAGCAACGGACAGTGCGACAGATGGGATGCGTATCCTGTGGCCTCAGGCTGTCCCAGAATGGTCCCCTATCATGCCTCTCTGTGGCCACAGGGTACAGAACTGACTCCTATGGAAGCAGCCATACAGTCACAGGCTGTCTGCTCTGTCTCTCCAAGGCCAAGGAAGACCTGGAGACCAAAGAGAGAAAGTCTCTACAATGTGGCATTTGCTTGAGGGGCCAGAGGACCAGTAAAGACAAGCTAATTTGGTGAGGCAGAGGGCAAGTGTGCAGAAGAGAGTTAGCATAGCAGGCATTTTAAAAAGTCTTTACAGGATTGGCCCTTGGCTGGTGTCTGGGACCTTAGTGGAACTGGAATTTCCACCCCTCTTACTGCTGAGAGTAACTCATTGTGCATAAACTGCTCAATGTATGATTCGGGCCAACCACCTGATCACCTTCAGAGACTGGAGTTCTGGTGCTGGGGAGAGGGTGCCTGTGTGATCAGCCCCCCAGTAAAAGCCTGAGCATGAGTTTCTAATGAGCTTCCCTGTTGGAAAAGATTTTGCACATGCTGTCACATCTTGTTGCCGGAGGAATTAGGCACGTCTCCTGTAACTCCACCGAGAGAGAATCCTTGCAAGCTTGTACCCTCTTTCTTCCAGACTTTGCCCCAAGCATCTTGTCTCTTTGATGACTTGGCTTTGTATCCTTCCATTGTAATAGATCTCAGCCATGAGAACCCCTATATGCTGAGTCCTGTGAGTCCTCCTAGTCAGTCATCAAACCTGAAGGTGGTCTTGGGGACCCCTTACACAACACTCCCAGAAAGCACTCCCATGGAAAATGGCTGCTCAGCCTTGGCTATATTAACCTCCAAATAAATATGTCTATTTTAATTTCCCTCTTTTAGAATTAAATACTTGGTTATTTTAGGTGTGGCTTTCTTATTAAGACCCAAACGTCTGGGAAAGGACCTCATGTTTCAAATGCACTAATAAGGCTGCTTCCCATGTATGGATATTCCCATTAAGAGGGATACACAGAGACTGTAAGTAGCCTCATGTCAGCCCAAGTCAGAGCTTACCATAAGATGAATTTGTGCCAAACTTAAGGGGAAAATCTTAGAATTTGTAGAGCAATTTGAATTTTGGCATTTCAGTTAAAGGATTATAGACCCTTATTGCTACCTCCCCTTTGCTTAGCAGGAAATTGAGAATTAGAAAAGCTAATTGATTTGCCAATAGCAGCACAGCTTGTATCTGAGCTAGATTTCCAGCCTAGGAACACCTAGGCTCATGCCAGAGAGCTCTTAACCATTACCCTATACTGTCTTCCCAGTTACTTACTTTACAAATCTATGTTCTACGTCTGAATACCACTAATGAGAAGGTAGTGTGAGCAAGGCAGAATAGGAAAGAAGGCAGTAACCATCTCTCTTTGGAACGGGCATTTTGATATTTACCTTTCCTATTGAAACTGATTCCAAATAGATGACATATATTTGCCTATGAGTCTAAAGATACAGCCAGGCCCAACAGAGAGAAATCCACCATTTCTGTCTCCTAGGAGCTGTGTGATACCCTCAGGTATAGTCGTCCTCAAAGCTGGGGTGTGTGTTTGTCTCCTTCCCTTGTTTGGCTTGACTTCCAAGGCAGCAAGATTATGTCTTGATTATTTTTTTTATCTTTGTCATTGAATAATGTTAAATACTTGAGTTGAGTAGATATCTTTTAATTGAATAGAAAGTTACTTTAGCTGAATGAGGGTAACCTCCAGATTTCCCTGGGCGGGAAGGCCAGCTACCCCACACCTTCTTGAAAAAGGTTCTTAATGGAATTTACACTTTTTGCCTGGATGTGACAGCAAAGAGATGGTTTGGAGAAAGGGAGAAGCAATAGGACTCCTCCCTCCAATAAGTAGCTTCCTTCAGTGAGACAGTAAAACACATTTTACATAGTTGTTGGGGAGAGATTGGGGGACAAGAAATCACTGCCAAATACGTGAGTGCTCCTAAGTTTTACTTCTGCTTTTCTGCCCCTCCCTGCCCTTCACTTTAAAAAGTATTAAATACTCTTATCAATTAGAAAGATGTTGGTAACCTAATTCTCTGTATTCTAACATCCCAGGAGCTGTGTCATTCTAATAGGTCTCTTCTGCTTTGACTTGCAGATCAACTTAATTCAGCTCCATGAAATCTCTAATTTTTCATTATCCTTGACACAAGCTTAGTAATTCTCAGAAAAATGGTCTTTTTTAAATGAAGTTTAGCTGGACATTCTGATATTCAAGGCTGCCGACACCAACAACTGTCGTTCTATGCAATGGCTTCATTGTTCAATGGCACAGTTAACAGCATAGTTTTATTTGAAAATGTGCTTGTCTTTCTCTGCTTGTTCCAGCGACAGTTTTCCTGGAGTTTTGGAAGAGACGGCGAGCAGTAATTGCTTACGACTGGGATTTGATAGACTGGGAAGAAGAGGAGGTTTGTACTATTTACCCCAGAATCTTAGAAAATCAAACCACCGAGAAATACACAGTCCCCTTGTGTTATGACTCTCTGCTCTGTGAGAGAAGTCAGGTTTACTCGTAAAGCATTTTCTATACCTGTCTTTGCAGAAAACTGCAAGCAGTATAACTAGCAGAATGTTTTTTAAAGACCAGTTTGATTGCTTAGCAGAATAAAATTCCATGGCTAAGCAGAGCGTTTCACTTGGAGATAGAGGAATCAAAGAATTGGTAGTAATTTGTTTCATTTTGTTAACTATTACACATTTTCTTGCAGCAAGAGAAGGGCATTTGTTTTATGACTCTAGGCCCATGGAAGCAAACCTTATAAGACAACTGTCCCAAGGAAATGTTTCCAGGAGCTCTCCAGAACCCTGGGCAGGGCCCAGATAATGCACAGGCTCAGAAGTGTTACCTCACATGGAAAATGCTGAGAACCCACTCCTCAGGTGGCCTCCTTGGGGCAATAGGCTAAATGCAAGGGTGGCTCCAGATAAAACTGTCAGGGGAGTGATAAACTCAGACTCCACTTTCTCAGCACATTTCTCAGCCCCATCTCTCTCCCTTTACCCCCTCTGGGCCAGTATACTGTGCCCTCGGCTCACCTCTCGCCCCCTTCCTGTCAGAAGTCTTGGATACCCACGCTGGGCTTGGCCACCATGTGGTGCCTCAGGCCCTGCTTTCCTTTGACGTCCATCCAGGCCTGAACTCGGCGTTCCTTCCTCCTCTTCATTAGCTCTCGCCTCTCCTGAGTCTGATTGCCTTAAAGTCTTGATGCGCCAGTAAGTCAGATAAACTACTCACATATAAGTGATAATGGGTGTCAATGGGCGTTTTCCTTCCCAGAGACACACATATCAATTTTTAGACAGTAAAAGGAATCTTCTAGAAACATAAATGAGAATTGTAGCCCAGTGGTAGGTTTAGTCTGGAAGATGATAATTTGGAGAGGTATCTTTGGTTTGGGGTTTGGTTCTCAAATCATCTCTCGGGAATGAATGACTTTTCTTCTCATGCCCATGCAGTTTGGGGCAGTGTTTAGATGTAGAGGTGACACTGGAATTTCCAAAAGACCTTGCTCTTCTGACAAGGCCTCTCATGCTTTTTTAAGCATTCTCCAGAAAATTATTTTTGGGGTTTGAAAAGTTGACTGTAACAAAATACCATAACAAAGGACAGACTGAATGGCTCAAACAACAGCAATGTACAGCTCTGGGGTCTGGAAATCGGAGATCAAGGTGTTGGCAGGATTGCTTTCTTCTTAGGTTTCCAGGCTTCTCTCCTTGGTTTGTAGATGGCCGTCTGTTACCTGTGTCATCATATCATCTCTGTGTGCATGTCTGCATCTAAATTTCTTATAAGGACACCAGTCATATCAGATTAGGGTCACCCGAATGACCTCATTTGAACTTAATTACCTCTATACAGACCCTGTCACCAAATACAGTCACATTCCAAGGTTCTGGGGGTCAGCGCTCCAACATAGGATCTTGGAGGGACACAATTCAGTCTGTAACACCCAGAAATGCAAGTCTGGCTCTGTGATTGGCCTTAGTTCCTGGAAGATTAGCTCAGTGATTCTTTTATGATGTTTATACCCTGAAAAATTCAAAAGAGTTTCCCAAAGAAGCAGAAGATTCTAGGTGTGTTTTGTTTCTCTCAAGAGGACTCTCAAGTGTAACTGGCTAACATAAATGCAACTGCGTATCCCCGACCTTCCCCATTACCTGCTCCTCGGTGAAGTCCAGCACCAGGCTTATCCTGTGGCCAGAGTGAGGCTGCCCTTCTGCCAGCTGCCTCTTCACTTTCCATCAGGACCTTCATCTGAGTCTTGAGCATTTCCACCCAGAATAAGTCAATTCCCATTTCACCAGAGTTTCCTCATTTTCCTGCCTCTTGCAAGACACTCAAACAGAACATGTACTTAATTAACTGGAACCACTTCAGCATACCCTCCCGCCAATTTCCTGTTCTTAATCTGATTGCTTTCCAGTCAGCTTTTCAGGTTAGTTGAAGCTCAACAAAGTGAAATAAAATCTCAGCGTGATTTAGAATTAGAGGAGCCTTGATTCGAGGTGGATTTGAAAGTTGTTTACCTTGTTTTCAATTCCCATTAAGAATACATTTAAAAATTGACTGGTTAAAGGTGGGTGATTCTTACAGGAGCTTTTTAAAAAAGAGACTCACCATGCTTTTAATTACCTAAATAGAAACATTTTTTTTAATTGTAGGAGAAAACTGAGAATTATATTGCCATTATAACTCACAAAATGGGTTCTGAACATTTTGCTATTCAAAAGATTTCTTCATCCAGTGTCCATATCATTTCCTGGTAATAAAAGTTAAAGTTTATTAGGTATCTCAAAGCACTAGGGATGCAAAAGGTGGTCCCTTTTCTCATTCTTAATTTCTTTAAGCATAGTTTAATAAAATAAGTCACACTTAACTATTAGTCTAAAATGCATTGCCTTGATGATAAGTCTGAGTAGTCATCCTTCAGATTTTCTTGAAATGGCCAATTTCCAAACATTTAAACCTCAGTCTCCAAGCCCACCTCAATGTCTGACTGATTAGTGTTGATTCAATTTTATGATGGAACAAAATATTTTTTCTTATTGTATGTGCACCTCTTCAGTGTATAAAAAATGTGTCTGCTTGTTCTTCAGGAAGAAATAAGGCCCCAGTTTGAAGCCAAGTATTCCAAGAAAGAGCGGATGAATCCCATTTCAGGAAAGCCAGAACCTTATCAAGCATTTGCAGATAAATGCAGCCGACTGATCGTTTCTGCATCTGGAATATTTTTTATGGTTTGAAACTTTTTTTACAATTCTGTTTCATAAAATATAAACCCGTAGCATGGTAATGACAGTCATCACACCAAGCATTTGCTTAGTTGTATGAAACCTTTTTGCACATTCAGTCATGTAATTCTCATGACAATTCCATGAGGTGGTCAGGGGTGGTACTGCTGTCCCCTTATCACAGATAGAGCAACTGAGGTTCTGAAAGCTCAAGGGGCTTGTCCAGGGTCAGTCAGTAAATAGCCAGAGCTCAGACCTCAGTGAATAGCCAAGAATCTGAGACATCTAATCTGATGTTCTTTCTACTTGCCTCCCTATGCCATGCTGAAAGGAACTAAAAATCGGAGCTACGACTTAAAACAGTGTCTTCAAACTTTTTTTTATCATGCTCATGTAAGAAATAAATTCTCTGTCTTGACCCAGTATATGCCTTGCAAATGGATGTCTATAAATCTAAATGTAGTAATTGAAGCAATGCTCTCTTCTATAAAACACAATGAGCTCCAATATTTTCTACTTTATTTTAGTCTTTTTTTTAAATGCCAGCTCTAACTTCCTAAAATTGATTTACACACTCACTAATGGTTATATCAATTTGAAAAACACTAACTTAAGCCTTGGTTGTTAGTGTCTCCTACAAAAGAAGCTGTTTTGTGCTCAACTGTGACCCTATAAATTACTGAACAAAATATATGCAGATTTTTCAGAAATGCCATGTTAGAACAGTAAGGGATAGTTAGGATTCCTTCTTTTCAAATGGCAAGTGCGTAAATATGTATCCTAGATGATTAGAGTAGGAAGGACAATACTACAGCAAATCCAGACAGCCTACCTCCTTTAGCCAGAAAGAAACTGGGGAAATGAAAGGTGAACAGTGTGCCCAAGAGTCTCTCAGCTCAGATCAAGATTCAAATCCATGCCCTTCTATAGATACTGCTTGGTAAACATGTGTCATTCTTTGCTTCCTATAAGGACATTGAGATTTATTGTCTTGGTTTTTGTTTCTCAGAAGATCTGTAGACATAGATAAAGCTTTCATTATTGTACAGATGGGGTCCTGGAACATGGGAGGCCAAAGCCATGGGAAGGACAAGGTACTTGCTGAAGGTCACACGGCTAGGGAGCAGCTGAGCCAGGAGTCCAGGGTGCTGTCCATTCCACCCGATTGCCCCCTTTGTCTGAAATGCAGTGTGGATTTCACCTATTTCCTTTCCAACAGCTCAAGGATTAAGACATGGGCAGGGTTTTGTTTCTTTATTATTTGTATTATTATTATTGCCTGTTCCAGCTAGACTTCATACTCAAGCTTTTAGAGAATACCACTTACAGTAATCCAGAAATAAGAGTTTACATAAAACAGAGGGCCATTTCTCTGAGGAAAGGAATCTCTCAGTCAGCACAGGCCATCCTGAGGCCCAGCCTTAAGATCTACTTTTTGCTAACTAAGTAGACTAAGGTCACTTCTCTGACTTATTAAGTGAGTCACCTAATGAAAGTCACAAAACTCTGGAGTCTCAGATTCCTATTATTCATGGAGATAGAAGCCATGCCATATCCTCAAATACCATGAAATCTTCAGAGAAAGATGTCTCAGTTAAATCTGCATTCATATCTGATTAATAAGAGATTGTGTACCTCACACATAGTTGGTTTAGTCAGCGAGAAATAACTGGAGACCTACCAAGCACCTGTAATTATGCCAAGGTGCTGCAGAAACCCTGGTGAGCAAAACAGATACCGTTCCTGCCCTAATGGCTCCTACAGTGAATGCCCCACAATGGTGGTTTCACTTTCCAAGGTGTCTGTTCCCTGTGACCCACCACGGTCTGCAAGCAGATGATCCTCCTTCTGGTATATCACCAGATCAACGGTAGCCTAATGCTCCATCACAATGCCTAAGCCACTCACCTCACTTCCTCTCATCATGTAGGCATTTCTCATCTCACATCCTCACAGGAAGGATGAATACAGTGCAAAAAGATTTCGAGAGCGAGAGAGACCACATTCACATAACTTTTTTTACAGTATGCTGTTACAGTTGTTCTATGTTATAATTAGTTATTGTTCTTAATTTAATCTCATACCATGCCTAATTTATAAATTAAACTTCATCACAGGTAGGTATGTAAAGGAAAACACTTTGCAGTGGTAGGGTTCAGTACTATCTGAAGTCTCAGGCATCCATGGGGCTCATGGAACACACACCGCATGGACAAGGGGAGGCTATTGTACTTCTAAGTGGGGAGGCTGACAGACTGACAAATTTTAGAAATTTTAAGTAGGGACCTGAAAGAAGAGTATAGGTACTGTATAACAGAGAAAAAAGTCAGGGGGTCATAAAAAACTTCAGTTCTGAAGGGATTCTTGAGCTGAGATGTGGAAGCTGAGTAGATGGTACCTAGGCGGTGTGTGTGCTCACCGTTGGCAGGGGAACGGATGGGTTAGCAATTTAGGCAAAGGAAATGGTCATGAGATAAGGGTGCTTTAGCCCATGGGAAACAGTGACAGACGGTCTGGAGCCCCCAGAGGGAGGGGAAAATAGCCCTCAGTAGGGCTCGAGAGAGTCTTGGAGCCCACCCTAAGGGCTGTGCTTTTATCCTAAGAGTAAAAGGAAACCAATCAACAGTTTTAAATAGAAAAGTGACTTTCTAAGATTTCCATAATAAATATTTGTTCATGAGCTCAATCTAATATTCTGCTTAATAAAATGTTACCCCTTGGCTTACATAATTTATCAACCTTCAAGCTCTGTGGTTTTTCTATCTGAATAACAAAGAAAATACAGACCAGAGACGGTATTCGCCACAGTGCATGCTGTATGCATTTTGCTGTGGCTTCTTGAGTCAGTACCACCACTGCTTCCTCTTCTCATCAGAGGGTTTTCCAGGTGCCAGGAGCCCTGTTCCTGTGCTATTCCACCCTGACGCTCCCTCTGTTTCCTTTCCCTCCTTCCTGCCAGATCTGTGTGGTGATCGCGGCCGTGTTCGGGATCGTCATTTACCGGGTGGTGACCGTCAGCACCTTCGCTGCCTTCAAGTGGGCGTTAATCCGGAATAACTCCCAGGTGGCGACCACAGGGACCGCAGTGTGCATCAACTTCTGCATCATCATGCTGCTGAACGTGGTGAGTGAGCTGCACGGTGACCAGCCTGGCCTGCAGGTGACAGTTTCCTTCTGATGCTAAAGGCCTGGCCTCAGAGAGGAGAGCCGGTCATGTGTTGCTGATGTCCTGGCAGCAGCGTGCCTGGCATGAGATGTGCGCACGTCTGGGGATTTAGAAGGCACAAGTTAAAGCTAGGCTCTGGGGTTTTCTACAGTGTAAGTTTCAGCAAGGCACGTGCCCTCTGTGAATCTTAGTCCACTCATTTATCCAGTAAGATAATACTGTATACTAATACCCCTTGAGGAAAAGAAAAAAAAAAGAATGTCATTTAAAGGCCCTGCTCAGAATCCGTGACATAGCTCAGCAGTATTGGTTCCTGTTTCCTTTTGATTCTGAGGAATGGGAGGGTGTCCGTAACAAAGCATTCCTGGAGATAATGCTGCAAGGGACATACAGGGCTCCACATATTGCTTGTGTTGATTGCAGGCTTTTTTCAATTGCATATTGCAGCCCAGATGCCTTCCCTGACCCCATACATCAAATTGCCATCCTCACCCAACACATTCAAACCCAAACTCCTACCTTTTCCCTCAGAATCAGCCTCTCCTGCTGCCTCCCCCATGGTAGTTGCTCAGACTGAAAACCTTGGCATTATCCTTGACTCCTCTGTTTCTCGCATTGTCAAAACATTTCCAGAATTTGATCACTTTTCACACATCCCCCACACCCACCTTGGACCAAGACCCCAGCATCTCCCGTCTGGGCTACTGCAGAACCTTCCTGACCAGTCCCCGGGTACCCATGGTTGCCCCTCCAGGCAGAGGAGCTTCTTACCTACACACCAGCTCACATCGCTCCTTGCACAATGTCTGGCGGCTTTCCTCTGCTCAGAGTAAAAGGCCCTGTCTTACACGGCCTCGGGCTCCTTCATCTGACCCCGGCAACACCGCAGACCTCCTCTCTTCCCCACTCACCCTGCTCCGCGCTGGCCTTCCCTTTGCTCCTTCGAAGTGCCAGGCATGCTCTCCCGCGAGGACATTTTACTTGCTCTTCTCTCCGCCTGGAAGATTCCTCTCCACAGGGTCTGCATTGCTTATTCCCTCACCTCCTTCAAGTCTTCGTTCAAATGTTACTTTTCTAATGTAGGATTCCCTGGTCACTCAATTAAAAATCACAACCCAGTCATGCCATCTGACAAATCTGACAACCTCCCATCTCCTTGCCTGCTTTGTTTTTCTCCAGGGCATTTATCACCATCCAGGGTGCTATTTGAATTTTTTTTTTTTTGGATATTATCTGTCTTCTCCATTAGAATGTAGGCTCATGAGGGCAGAAACGTTTGTATGGTTTGTTTTTGTTTTTGTTTTTTTTACTGTTGTAATTTCCTAGTGTATAGAATAGAACAGGGCCTGGCACATAGTAGGCCCTCAGTAAATTGTTATTTGCAGAATAAAAGGTAATGGCTGATACTGTTAGACTTCAGGTCAACCTATACATAAAAATACTGACATTAGAATTTTGTTAGTAAGTAAGATGACGTGTGTGGAGTCCCAAGAACAGTGTAAGGCATGGAGTTGATGTTCAATTAATTGTAGTTCCCTCACCCTTATTGAGATTTCATTTGAAATCTAATCTGGGTTATAATGCTGAAATGCTCATATTAGAAAAAGGTTTTCCAAAGTCCAAGTAATTTAATACTATTATTAACACAATTTTATCTATTCAAGTTGTCATTTCTACTTCTTAAATAATGCAAAATTCCATAATCAATAAACTGCAATTCCTAAGAGAATTCAACCAATGCAATAATAAAGAACTTTATTTATGTTTCTTAGGTGAACTAGTATTCACTGAGCTAATGAAATACAGGTAATTTACTACTATCATTATTAAAAAACACAGGATCTTCTTTATTAAAGTTTCAAAATCCAGAAGTTATAAAAATGAAAAAAAGAGCAGTTGAAATACTTTGTAGCTGCTTCTTTGGCTTGTTGATCATTTTGACATAATAATTGTGAAACTCCTTGGTCAAGTAGAGATTGAAAGTGGATGTTTGGCACCCCTGGCCTTACCACCTCCTCCCAGGACTCAGCCAGTCTGGAAGTTAATTGTGGAATATATATTGTAAAGGGGAGTGATTCATAGTGAATTAACCAAAGAGCCAGAGCAGTGAAAGATTCTGCGTCCAGGTAGGATGCAATGAATTAAAGCTCTCTCTTCTCTAATATCCTATTAAAATTTAATTTATAGAGAAATAAATTTCTGTATATATACACAGTAAGTTTATCAATACCTGTTTGTTATAGGTTTTGAGCAAATGCCAGTGCTGTCAGAGTAACATTTCATTTAAGTGGAAGCCACTTACCCAGCAATCCCTACTTCATAAGACACAGCCAAGAAAAGAGGAAGTAAACTAAAAATAAAGAAGGGAGCATAGGGAGAAGTAAATGTGTATAGTTATAGACAAAACAAGGTACTCAGTGAGAGGTGGGAGCTAGACTACATGACACTTTACATGTTCGTCTACCAAAGAGTGTCAGAGTGACCAAAATGGATGGTGTAGAGTCCACACACTAGAGCTCTCATGTATGATTCTTATGAATGCCCTTAAGCTGTATTTCCATTTATTTTAGATACCTTTGGTGCCCTGACTTCTCAGCTGACATCAAACTAGAATAATTGAAGGTTAGTAAGGCAAGCATACTGACATGGGCAGGCAATGACAAGGTGTAGCAAGGGGAAGGAAAGGAAATGAAAAGCATACATAAGAACTCTCAAAGCAGCAGCATCCAGGACCCTTTGGTGCAGGAACCAGGTGCCTTACCCTTCTCAGCCATCTCGGATGGCATTGCCTTCCCAGCACACGTATTTACAGTCCTGTCCTGTGCCCTGAAGCTTTTCAGGTTCTGTTATGAAGGTGACCAAGTGTATAACGTAGTTTAGAAAGATTTTTATGAGAATATCTAAAAAGTAAATAAGTAAAATTGAGTCCTTAAGAGGAAAATATCACATAAAGAACAGATGACAGAATAATGACTATAATGTAGCTTTGACCAGTTCAGGCGTCTACTGACTTCTGAAATAACTCCATTTAAGATATTTTCATGTCCCAATAATATACATTTTTTAATACCATTATATACATTATATACATACATACATTACTTTCAACTATGGCCATACTGGTCTTGCAAAAAAAAAGATCATTTTACATTAATCATTAAAAAATACATTTTCAATAATTAAATATGCAAACCTTGAAAACTAGAATGGTTTTTAATTTGCTTTCATTAAAGGCTATAAGCTAAATGTCCCAGATCACATATCCTGTTTCTAACATTTTGCAAGAGTTGTCTGATCGTAATTAAAAAATAAGATTTAAGAGGGTGGAGCCAAGATGGCAGCTTGAGTAGACCAGCGGAAATCTCCCAAAACCATATATTTTTTTGGAAATACAACAAATACAACTATTCCTAAAAGAGAGACCAGAAGACACAGGACAACAGCCAGACCACATCCACACATGCAAGAACCCAGCGCCTCGTGAAGGGGGTAATATACAAGCCGCAGCCCAGCGGGACCCGAATGCCCCTCACCCCAGCTCCCGGTGGGAGGAGAGGAGTCAGAGCGGGGAGGGAGAGGGAGCCCAGGACTGCTGAATAGCCAGCCCAAGCCATCCACACCAGAGCACAGA